AATGATGTTTCAGGTTCAAACGGAAATGAAAGGCACATAAAGTTGTAAGACTTAAGAATTCCAAGAATTTGGCAGTGGTGAAAACGCACAAAGAACACATGAAATTTAGACATTTTTGCTCTGTCCTTTTAATCAACACAAATCCCTCTCCCGTTGTTCGGTAACCACAATGCCTGTATTGAACTCTGCGAGAGTTAGAGAGGTTTGTAGAACAAGACTTCAGCCTGGATTGCAGCCCAGCGTCCCATCAGACTTCCGTGGTCAGACGGTAGCAGCAATACGCCTCCAATCACCTGGCACTGTTTCCTGGGGGTACAGGTACAGCCTGGGGTCCTCTCACCAGGAGGAGAGCTGGCAGGTCCCACACAGTGGTCGATGCTCAAGCCCTTCCAGTGGCTGCAGAGAGCTTGCCCGTTCCACCCAGGCGGCCTTCACTCTGTGCATGTCTGAGAGAGTGGGGGTGACTGTCTTCCAGAAGAAACAGGTCAGGTCTATTCTAGAACAGTGGAGGACGGAGGACACTAATCAGAGCTGAGGAATGGACTTCAGGTGATAAACTGCAAGACCAGGAGGGAATAAGGAAGCAAAGGAAAAGGCTAATGAGAAAGAAATAGAGAGGGAGGAGCCAAGGAGGTAGATTTGGGGTAGAAGGGCAGTGTCCTGCCAGAGTTATGCAGGAGGCAGGGGAAACTAACTTGGGAATCTCGGGAACCAGCAGTTAGCGTAATGGCTATGTCGCTGGACTCCCACGTAGTCGACCGCGGTTTGCGTCCCGGACTTGGTGGCTTAAAACTCACGCCAGGCGCGTGTGCGTGCGTGCCCAAGATCCCGAGAGGAGAATGGAGGAGAAGGGATTGCAGCGTGACCATCCCCCCTGGGGGGTGATTTCTCACTTTCTGTCTCTATGTCTCTCTCTGTCTGTCTGGCGAGCACATGCACCCTATAGTGAAAACCTCTCCCCTCTTGGGAATCTCACAGGACCTTGGCTAGGTCCAGCCATTTTTTTTTTCTTTTGATCTCCCACCAACAACTGGTTGGTCAGTAAGCCCACAGAACAGGATTTAAGGTGTCCTTTGTATAAAGGGTGAGTCTGGGGCCAGTGGATGGCATGGTAGTTGCATCACTGGACTCCCACATGATTGACTGTGGTTCAAGTCCCTAACTGAGAGGTTTGAAATTCAGGCCAGGCATATGTGCGTAAGTGCACAGGATCCTGGGAAGAAAATGGAGAAGCGATTGGTGGCATGGCCACCCCCCTAGAAAGGTGGTTTCTCACCATCTCTGTCTCTGTCTCTCTCTCTCTCTCACTCTCTCTCCAGTGAATGCACACACTCTAGAGAAAAATACTCTTTAAAAAAGTGTGAGGCTGAGTTTACGGTTGTGCGTCCAGCAGGGTACGGTGGCTTCGGCAGCACTGCTCTCGTTCAGTCCTCTGTAAGCAGGCTCTTCAGAGACTTTGCCATGAACACCTTCTCACTCCGCCTCCAACTCCTGAAAGGAAAAAAGCATTCCTGACTTGTTGGATCCGACTGCAACAATCACCGACTTGCCTCACACACTTCCAGCCTTCCAGAAGCAAACCTAACATTAAGGGATTACTCTGCCAGTATAGGTGTGTTCTTGTAAAACGCTTGGTGGGCAGGCTCTGCGGAATTTAAAGATCTCTACCTTTGTTAAATTATGACAGAGTTTTAGATTTAAGTGAGAAGTTGCAGGTGATGCCTGCAGGACACAGACCGTGCAATGAGCTGGAGCCAGCCATGTGGTTGGTGCCACAATGCCGTGCCTGGCCCCGTGGTCCCTCATGGCACTCTGGTGCTCTGTCCATGCCGCGGGAGCTGCTCTGGCCCGTGCACACTGCAGGAGTGGTGATTTTTTATTTAGCAAGCAGAGTTGAGCTGATTTTCTTGAAAGGATCAGACTCCGGTTGCCACCAGGCAGGCTGTTGGGCCACACATTTTAATATGCTAAGTCTCAAGTTGGATCTGTTTTCGTGACTCAAGGAAATTTTATTCTCTCACATTCCAGAATTCCCTGTGAAGCAGCCCTGTAAGTAGGGCTCTTCCTGAATACTATGGAAAGAATTTCTCCTTTGGGATTCGTGTGTCTATATCACAGAGAGTATTTTAAAACACTCTCGAGGTGGCGTGTGCAGCGGCAGCAGTCAGGCCAAACCACAGGCGGAGGGGATCCCAGGGTGTGCTGCACGCGTTCCCGTGGGATTGAGTTCTGCAGCGTGCATGGGGCGGGGGAGGGCCCTGTGACTGGTGGTTTCTCCGTGGTCATAGGGTCCTCTTTCTATGAATGCAGCCCTGTTCACTCTGCATCCACCAGCTGGCAGGGTGGCCCCTAACTCCCATGCTCACTCCATGCCCGGAAATGCTATCCCCAGTTTTCTTCCTTTGTTCAAAGTCCTTACTTCTGGCCTAACCTTCCATTCCCTCCAGCCTGTCTTAATAACTCTTGATGCATTTACTGAGCTCACCATCCCCCCACCCCGCCATCACTCCCTGGGATTTCCTGTGTAACATCTCACATGCTTGTCTCCCCGAGGACTGGATCTTGGACATCTTTTCTGCCTCCTACAGGAGAAGCAAAGTGTAGTTAAAGAGGACATGCCTAGGAGCTGCGCAGACCTAGAATCAAACCCCCAGCTTTGTCGTTATGAGTTGTGTTGCTGTGGCCAGGTTGTGTGACCTCTATGGTGACAGCCTCTTCTGTCTCATTTTGTTCATAAAAGCCACCTTATGGGGTTTGGACCACAGTTAGTTCCCTCCCTCATTCCAGATCTAGTGCCTGGCCAGTAGAAACTAAATAAATACTTTGACACGTGGTCTGGCTATGGTTGGATTGCTTGAGTCAGATATGACCAAAGTAGATCAAAGCGAGAGGAACCAGGACCATGCCGCCCTAGGAAGAGCCATCCAGCGTTCGTACAAGTTCTGTTAAGAAAAGCAGGTCGCATGGAGTCAGGATTGACCAAAGGGTTCGCTCGGTGAAATTTTGCTTCCCTCTGGAGTCTTTGGAAATCCAAATTTGAGCTTCTTAGAACCTTAGGGTGAACGTCTTTGAGTTGCCCCATCGGAACAGTGTTCATTTAGTACCTGATCAGGATAATGAGGTCGATGGCACCCCACCCTGAAGAGTTTGTTGTCATCTAGAGTCATGGTCCCTTGACTTCCCCTGCACCCTTAGCACAGAGCAGGTGCTCAGTGAATGTCCACATCACTGAACTCACCCTAACCTGACTGGCTCCAAGGTTACAGCCATGGCAGGGGCTACTAGACCAGGTACACAGGCCTAGGCGCTGACCATTGACCTGTCAGTCCCACCTGGGGAGGTCTGGTGCTGCCCTTCTGCTTGAGGAGTAGTCAGCTCGTGAAGGTCCAGTGGCGTGACTCAAATCCCATTTCCAATCCAACCAGCAAACACTCGGGTAGCTTCTGCAGGCAGGGTCCCACAGGCCCCTTGCTGCAAGCTGCAAATGTGTCCGGCCCCTACCGAGTGTATGATGGGATGTGACGGTTGCCTTGGAGGCGAAGCTCCTGGGGCTCAGCTTTTCTCATTTGACGTGTCCACTGCCCACAGCACTGACGGGCCTTGTACAGTGGGCTTGTGTGTTTTCTGACCTTGCTCATGTTCACACAGGCTCGCTTCACGGCGAGCGGTGTCCTTGTGTCAGGTCAGCCAGCTGTCAGCTGTGCCTCTGGAGGTTGTGCTGATGGAAGAGTTTTCAGTCCCTCCACTCATGAAGCTCATCCATTATTGCTTTCAGCTTCTTTCTCTTTCCCAGTGCCTGTCTTTCTGTGCTGTCTTCCTGTTACTCTGTGTGTGTCTCTCTCTCTGTCTGTGTGTCGTCTCTGTCTCTGTCTCCCTCTATCTCTGTTTGTATATATGGCGCTATTACTCTGGCAATAGAAAACATACTGTCAGAGTATTTCACAAGAAACATCCATTCAGAGGAGAGGCCTCCCTCGTATACCGTGTCCATTTGTGAAAGACCCAGAATCCCAGGAGCAGCAGGTGGTGCAGTTGTTGGGGTGCTGGACTCCCACATGGCCAGCTGCTTTCTCACTTTCCTCCAATCACTCTCTCTCTCTCTGATAACTATAGCAAGTTTATTAATAATAATAATAGGGACCACCAGATGGTGTAATGGTTATGTCACTGGAATCCCATGTAGTCAACCATGGTTTGAGTCCCAGACCCTGTGGCTTGAAACTCAACGTTGGGCACATGTTTCTCTGTGCCAAGATTCCGAAAGGAGAGTGGAGGAGGAGGGATTGCAGCATAACCATCTCTTCTGGGTGGTGGTTTTTCACTTTCTGTCTTTCTATCTCTAGTGAGTGCATGTGCCCTATAGCAAAAATCTCTCTAAAAAAATTAATAATAATAATTATAAATAAAGTAAATAGTTCTTTTTTTAAAAAAAATAAAAGACCCTGAATCCAGAAAGTCGCCCTGCGATCATGTGTCCCAGCACTGGCAGCCACTGTCACTGGCGAAGATTTGCATTTCCCTTGTGCTGGAGTCGTGTCTTCTTCCCTGGGCACAGGAGGACTGTCTGACGAGGAAGGAAGAGGACTGTCAAAGAGCCAGGCAGTGCGCCCTGAAATGCATCTGGTTTTATTCATGCTGAGTCTTTCCAGGTGAACTGAACTAAATCATAAACTACAAAATGAAAGCAGATTTTCCTTAGCACACCCATATGGAGCACACTGAGAGAATTCACCACCATCCATCAGCCTCCATGCCCCCAGAACACAGAGGATATCATTGTTCTTCTCGTCCTGGCGGCTGGTGTGGATGAGAAGTTTCTCCCACGGGTGCTCGGAGGCTCGTCTCAGTCATTTTGACATCACAGAATGATGTCTGTGATGACTCACGGGGCTGCTGAATTGGGGAGCTGGGAACAGGGTGGGGCTTGACATCTCCCCGGGTGCTTTGGGGTGTAAGCCAGCTGGGAGGTTTAAGCAAAGTCTGTGACATGTTTGCCCTAGACTGAAAACAGGACCAGCACCATCCAGGGGACAAATCTGGCCCTGAACAGATGTCATCTGAGCCGCGGTAGGTCATCACGGCAAGAACCCTGGAGCCAGTGCAGTGTGGTGCTTCCAGAAAAGACGCCCAGGCTAATTTCAGCACCAGACCCCCAAAACAAGTGTCAGACAGGGCGTGGCTGGAAGCTGGCAGTGCCCAGCTGGCCAGAGGCGCCACCCGCACGAACACCTTGTACTGAGCTCTTCTGACGGATGTACCTCCTCCAGTCTGAAGCCACTTTCAGCAAGTTCCCATTAGAAAAGGCAGGTCCTTTGTACTCCCCCTCCACCACCAACCTCAGTCAACACTTGCTGATTTAAATAAGTGAGAATCCAACATTTGGCCCCCAGTGCTGACACTCCACATTTAAGAGGTGAAGGGCCCACTCCCCTGGCCACCGCCCCCCCACCCCCCCAGCAGCACCATCCTGATGACAGAGATTAGGACAAGCTGCAGAGCTTCACAAGCATCTGCTTTCAGTTCCCATTTCTGGCATATTTTCATGAATTAACACTTGCAATGACAGGGCTAGAGACAGGTAGCCCTGGTTCATAGATCACGTGGTGTGTACAGTGGGGCACCCCATGCTTGACTCAAATGATGACCTACAAGTAGAATCTGCTCCCCTGCCACCAAGCCTCGAGAAGACACAGTGACAATCTTCATGCTCAAACCAGGACAGGTATCGACTGGTCAGGGGGCAGAGAGGGCAACCAGACGTGCAGCTTCAGAGCCAAAGAAAGCACAGCTGGTAGATCTGTTCCAAATGCGGGTCTGTCCACAGAATCCACATCAGGGTGTGCAGAGTCCCGTTTGATGTTGGGGATCAGCAAAGCATCCCACATCCTCCCCACTCTGAGGAACACTGATGTCACTAGTTCTAATTAAAATTAGCTTGAGAGATAGAGGAATAAAGGGGGGTGGAAGGAAGTAGGGAGGGCCTGTGGGACAAATCACCTGGATTATGTTCACAAAAGCAAAGAGATTGGATTCACAGAGGCACATCCGAGACCACAGCAGCTTGGCTAGCATGCTTGAGAGAAAAGGGACTCCCATTAGAAGGCCCAGAGGATGCTTTTCACGGCAGGAGGCTCTGAGGCCAGGTGTGAGCCGGAAATGCAGTATTGCAGAGACACACCTAGCAGAGACGGACTGGAGAGCCTATTCCAGGCGTTAACAGTAACACAGTGGTTGACACGCATCAGTAGGTATCACATCACATCCCAAAGGACACATGAGAAAGGGTGACCAAAAAATCATGAGCTCTGTAAGCCCAGGATAGTAGAGCAGACAGAATCCTTGGAGATCAGTTGCTATGAGGTTTTCAGGTGAGGACAACCTGAATGAAGCACAGGAGGTGGAGTGAAAGGCTCACCTCAAAAGTAGAGGTACCCAGCATGGCGTTCCACCATCCTAACTCCTCATCCGGAACAGCCTCCATGCTGGGTACAGTGGCATGCACCTGGAATCCCAGCTACTTGGGAGACTGAGGCAGGAAGATGGCTTGAGTCCAGGAGTTCTAGGCTCTAGTGCACCATCCCCATCAGGTGGCCACACTATGGTGACCTCACAGGAGTGGGGACCACAGGTCACCTAAGGAGGAGTGATCCAGGCCAAAGCAATTTTCACCAAACTATGCCACCTCCTACATTTGCTTTGCTTTGTTTTGTTTTGTTTCATTTGAGGATGTTAGTGGTGCAAAGTTCGTAACCTAATGAGCTCCATTGTCTCATACCCTTGTGAGCAAGAATTACAGAACTAGCTAGTACTTCTGATGACTTGTGGAAGGTTTAAAGTAGTTTAGGACCACCTTCATGCAATGTTCTAAATATAATTAAGTTTTTTTTTTTTATCAAGACATAGCTCCTATACCATAACGTTCCATTTAAAGAGATCTGTTTGTTGGATTGTAGCATATATAAAGGGCTGGTTGTGCAACCCACACTATGATCTAATTGCAGAACCTTTTTTAATCACTCTTGAAAGTAGCTCTGTATCCTTTAGGAGTCATTCTGTAGCCTCTTCTCTCCCCAGCCCTAGCACCCGCAATCTACTTTCTGTCTCTCTGGGCTTGCTCATTTTAGACATTTCCTATAAATAGACTCACTCAGTGTGTGACCTTTTGTACCTGGCCACCTTCACTTAGCATAAATACTTGAAGGTTCACACATGTTATGACAAGTGTCAGTGCTTCGTTCCTTTTTATGGCTGCATAATATCCTAGCATATGGATGGGCCACGTTTCGTTTTTCTCTTCATTAATTAATGGATATTTGGGTCCTTTCCATTTTGGCTATTGTGAATAATGCTGATGCCATTAGTCATACAAAAGTTTTTGTGTGACCATCTCATTTCAGTTACTTTAGGTATCAGTCTAGATGTTGAACTGCGGTGTCAGTGGTAACTCTTTAACTTGTAGATGAGCCACTGAACTGTTTTCTGTTTTCCATGATGGCTGTACCATTTTACTTTTCCACCACCAATGTGTGAAGGTCCCAGTTCCTCTACATCCTTGCCAACACTTATTATTGTCCATTTTTAAAATTATAGCCTGCTAGAGCATATGAAGTGATACCTCATTATAGTTTGGATCTGCATTTCCCTAAAGACTAATTATTTTGAGTGTCTTTGTGTGCACTTATTGACCATTTGTGTATCTTTTTTTTTTTTTAATATATAAAATTTCTATTCAGGCCCACTGTCCATTTTCTTTTTCTTTTTTTTTTTTTTAAAGGGAGAAGGGCCACAAGTTTAAAGTTTTCAACAATAGGGAACATAGATTCCATTCAAGGTTGGATCAAGGGTGGGTCTCGTGCGGATCCGCCATTGTAGGTGAGTCTCCATGGAATACAGTTCTAGGAAAGCGGTTCTGATAAGCAGAGATGATTATCAGTTG